TGTTTGTATCTCTTGCAGTCTATAACCTGATTTTGATTCAATCTTGTCACATACACAAAATAATACTCTAACGTAATGAATGGCTTTTATAGTGAAGCACGGGATCCAACTCTCTACACATAACAACATACTACGAAATGGACTTCTTACACTTATTAAATTTCAATAACGGCTTCATAAATATAAAAGAAAATCTCATATAAATACTCAAACTCTTTCAAATGTGTCAAATAAATACCTGAATAGTTAATTTGTCTAATTAGTATCTCAACCATTTGATTGTACTACATCCATGACTCAAACTCCTAAAAATGATGTCAATTCCCAATTTCACCTTTAACGGCTTTTGTTGTAATCGTTTTCCGTTACATGACTTGTAACGTGGCACGATACGTCGTCAATTTTTTCCATGTTGGAAGGATAAAATTTTTCGGTTAACAATACCATTATAACGATAAAACCAGTACAAAATCAAAATCCTAAATTAAAATTAGGCTCGAAATTGTTCGTTGTCAATACTAAATTGGTACAATCAAATAGTTGAGGTAATAATTAAATAAAATTAATTGTTTAGGTACTTGTTTGGCAGAAGGGTTTGAGCACTTATATGAGATTTTCTCTAAATATAAATCATGTCCGTTAAAAATCGAACTGTATATTGTCTTTCCTTTTTCTCTTTCCCGGTTGAAAGTAATAACATCCTTCACCGTATATTTTAAACTACTCATTGCATACATAAACGAGACTGATTCACCAAAATGTAAGTTTATAATCAACAAAGATATATACAAGAGTAGGTTCAAATCCAAGCGTGGGGAGGGGCATTCACCTGGGCTTCCCCGGTCCTCTGGGAGATGTAGTCGGGTCAAAGATCCGATGAACTTCGGATTATCCAAAAAAAAAAGATATATACAAGAGACACATGTAACATGTGTTCAAATCAGTTACATATTGGTAATTATAATATGAACAATACCAAGCTCAACAGAGTAAAAGCAAAACTTTTGTTACAGAAAAATTTAAAAGCTGCCGAAAATTAAACTTAAAAGCTGAAGTAAGATGATACATATATTATGATATAGTGATGAACTCTTCATCTACTTAGTGAGCAGCCCTCTCTATATCTCGAACCCCTAGCCTCTCTTCCTCCGTCCATCATCGCCGCTTGTAACCCTAACCCACAAAATCTACCCCCGTATCGGTCGAGAGGAACTTCATTTCCATTTTCACCCTGAAAATAAGAGCTAAATGAGCTCTATTTACGGGAAAAAAATTAATCTTTTCACTTAAAAAAATAGCATACCATAGAAATATGCCAAGAGTTGTCGTCCAAGTCAAGCTCCGGTGGTCATAAATAAGGAAAAAATAAAAAAAATGAAAAATCTCATATAATTATCACAACTTTAAATAACTAAAATGTTACTTCTTCTTTATGGAATGTGAGATATTACTACTGCCGCCACTTCTAACACTTTCTCTCTCGCCAGTGTTAACGTTTATCACGTTTTTTTCTTCGTCTTCTTCTTCTTCTTCGAATGCCCTGTGTGAGTGATCTTGATCAAAGCTCAACTCAAATGGCATGCCCTTGCGTTCGTAAAATAGTTCCATAGGTGTGCCTTCTCGTGCTACAGTTTCTTCTTCGTGGACGTCTTCGTTTTCCAGTTTCAGCATCATAGAAGAAGATCGTCCACAAACTGACAAACCATCACCTAACCCTAGGTCCTCCGTGGCAAAAGATTCTGTCTCTAAGTTGTGTCCGAGCAGAGTATCAACGTCAGCTGCAAACTCCGCAAGCTCCATATCTGTTGGAAAAAACCGGTCGAGACAACTCTCGGCGTTGTCTTCATCGTTCTCCTCGTTCATGTCGGCAAATTTAATAAGTTCCGGTAACGGAAAACCGGTCTTCTCCTCAATCGCGTCGTCTCTGTATTGCTCCGAGACCGTGGGATCAAGAACCGGCACTTGAAAAATCAGTTGCTCTTCCTCGTAGTTTTCTGTCTGATCCTCGACGCTGATCTCCGGCACGAGGTCGTGGAAGAATACCGCACGTTGATTAGGTTTCCCAGCAGAGCCGCTGCCGCGTGGAGTCCGAGCTTTACGCGTGAACCCATGGTGCCACTTGGCTGTTCCGGGAGGGGATACAGTGGTCGGGCGGTGGGTTCTGCTCGAGCTTGCGGATTTCAAGCGGACCCGCTCGTGCCGGCGGGCTAGTGGGTTGGCTGAATGGACGGACCCGTCGCAAGCCTGGCAAAGGAAAGCGTCATCGGAGGGGCAATACCACCGAGCACGCCTCTTAACGCAGCTGTCACAAGCCCTCGCGGTCTTGCCCCCGACCGCATTAGCCGAACTCTTCATCGTACTTAGTTATGCCCTAATCACCATTGACAACAAGCAGACCAAGCTTTTTTAAGTGGTTAATAACTCATAAATTGAGTTGAGTTTCCAATGAATCTTTTGAGCGAATCGAAAGGATGTTTGCTTTAAAATAAAAAAGAGAGTGTAGCTTTATGTTAAGGCCGTTCGGATAGGTCCCCACACGTAGGAACTGAGCTTATTTTGTTAAATTTGATGCACTTTGAGTGTGGGACCTGCACGGTGGTTTATCTCTATTCTGATTGGTTGATTCTTAAAGATAATCCTTCTCTTAGGGTTCTAATTGGTCGGCTCTTGGATTCTTGTGTGGTCCACGTGGGCCCACATCACTGATTTTCCCCTTATTTTCTACACTTTTCCATTTCATTTTTTGGTGGTGTTTAGCAAACGGTTATTTCCATGAAAACAATGTCAAATGTCAAAACTAATCTCTGTGGTCTTATAGAAGCAAGTTTTTAATTGCATGGAACCGGTTTTTTTCAGGTACACACATGTAATTGATATTTTATAATGTAATGAATGGACCTGTCATTATAAAATGTCTTCTTCGTTAGTGTGATTATTTCAACGTATTGAAAGAACAAACACATATATTGGGATTGATATTTTCAATCTTCCGCAGTTGTCCTCATAAATTTATAGTTAATACATGTTTATTATAAATTTTAAAATTAGGTCAGTTACCTAGCTTAAACAGCGATTTTATTGTTAACAAACAAAATGTTTAGCTTCTACATTCGGGTAAATATATATATATATATATTAAGGTAATCAAACCCGATCTAAAAATAGTTTGGATATAATTTTTCAAAAACCAATTAAATTTATTGAACTTGAACATTAATATCCAGATTAAATATGGACATTAAAAGAAAAAACAATAAAACATTGTTTTACAAATCAATATATTTTTTATTGAAAAGGCACCAAATAGAATTCAAAATAAAACTAAATAAATGAGAATCGAAAAACAATTTATTACGAATTATGAAATTTTTTTATTATTATATAGTTTAGATATTAGTGTTTTCTATTTAGATTGAGTTTATCAATTCTTTATAATATTAGATTAAAAATCGAAAATTTTAAAGAGAAAAAACTAAGTTATCTATTTAAATTCATTCAGTTATCAATAATATATACTACATTTTATCTATTTAAACAAATTAAAAAACACACTATAATATCTAAATTTGAACTGAAATTCTTCGTAATTACAAAAATAAAATATCCACCCTTAATGAAAATGGAAACATAACGGAAAAAAAAATATGTAAAAATCAGTATAGTTAGATTGTGACAATTTGGAATTAAAAGAATAAAAACAATATGGATAACTATTATATATGGACCTCATCCATTCGCAGAAAAATTCAAAAACAACTGCATCAACATTTCAACAAAATATAAATATTGTTAACGGAAAATATTGGCTATATTCGTATTCTTGAAAGTGACTCCCAAGTATTTCAATATTACATTCACATTCCTTAATATAAATTATTTCAACATTAACGAAATAAAAATAAGCGACCATTATTTTAATATGAATATTTCTGGTTTATTGAACTTCTGTTCAGGTCAATTCAATAATAAAACTAGACCTTGTATGCTAAATACTATTGTAATCATCTTATATAATAAGATTAATTCCACAGCAATATTTTATGGGTCATTATATTAATTGAAACGACAGCACTTGCTGGACCATGATTCGTAATAGGCTCAAATATTCAAACCTGTTTAAAATATAATGGGCCTTAACAGATGCCCAATAAGCTGATTAACCCCAATTATTCAGGCCCAACACTACAATGAAGCCAAGTTTTGTGCGCATTCTTATCTGAGTAGGCCCCACACATAAAATAAATAAGGAAAAAATAAAGAACAAAAATGAAAAATCTCATATAATTATCACAACTTTAAATAACTAAAATGTTAATTTGATCTAATTGATATTTTAAATATAAATTCTTCTAAATTAATATCTAAAAAATTAAAATATTTTAAAACATAAAATCGATTGAAATTCTCAAACTCAACCTTTTGATAATAATGTATTAATTTGACGATAATATCTTAACATAAAAAACAAATCGATGTTGTAATTTTTTTCGATTTCGTGATTTATAATATTAATTTAGAATATTTTAACATTTGAAATATTAATTTTAAATATTTTAGTATTTAAAATATCAATTAGAACAAACTTAATAATTTAGGTATTTATTTAGTATATTTTATGGAATTATAGTATTTTTATGAGATTTTTTCTAAAAACAATTCTAATGAGAAAATCCATTCTTTTGGAAATTTTTCTTAAAAACAGTAGGTGAGATCCACATTATACATATGTTAACCCATTTTCCTTGCCCATTGATAAGCCCAGTTTCCTTTGCCCAATAATGCAGTTCCCATGCGGTCTATGGGTAATACGGAAAAAGTATAGAGGGTATATGTGTAAACTCATATAATTATGATTAGGTTAAATCTCGTGTATAAATACCCTAATATTGTTAATAATAATTAAGCCACTTTGCATAGTTATTATTTGGTATCAGAGCTAAATAAACCCTAGGGTTCTTCGATCAGCTCTCTCGTCGCCGGCGCATCACCAAGTCTTCTTCTGGTGAAGCCTCTGCCTCTCATTCTATCGAAACCGTCGCCACGTTTGATCCATCGATGCCGCAGAAATCTCTTCTCTTCGTCAATATGTCCAATATCACAAAGCTCTCTAACACCGACTACATTACATGGAGTATTCAAGTCCGGACTCTTCTCGTTGCTCATAATCTAGTTTGCTTCATTGATGACACGGCCACTGTCCCCGCCGCTACAATCACCCTTGATAGGTAGCACGGAAAATCTCGCTTTTGCACTGTGGAAACAACAAGATCGCATGTTGTTCAACACTCTCCTTGGTACTATCTCCATTCAACTTCAACCACTCATTGCTCGATCTGCTTTCATGCGTCAAGCATGGAACACCATTGCTGATATTTATGGGAAAGCTTCCCGCGACCACTTGTTGCAACTCCGGGATCAGATCCAGAGAAGTGTTAAAGGCTCTCAATCTATTGATGATTATTTTCGGTTCATTGCCACTAAATCTAATGAATTAGCATTGCTCGGAAAATCGATGGACCATGAGGATGTTCTCGAAGCAATCCTCGACGGCATACCGGAAGAATACAAGCATGTCATTGATGTTGTTCAAGCTCGAGACGGCTATTTATATCAGTGAATTGTATGAAAAATTGCTGAATCATGAAGCCAAGTTGCTTATCTCGGTTGCTCTTCCCCCGGAACAGTTCCCTGTTTTCGCCCACAACACCAACACTCGACCAAACCAGCAGCAGCATCATCGCTTTGGTCCTCGACCTCCTTACAGATCTAGTCCTCGGCCTTCCCGTCAAGAGCATCGTTTTGCACCTCGCGGCTCGTCTCAGTACTCGCGGACTCATGGTTATCAAGGCCAATGCCAAGCATGTGGCATCTTCGGTCATAGCACAAGTCGCTGCCATCAATTCACTCTCGTCACTGCTCAATCTGGTTCGGATGGTTCCTCGTCGGTATCTCCTTCTTCTCGGCCATGGCAGCCAAGAGCTCATGCCGCTGTTTATTTGCCTTATGAGCCGGATCAATGGCTCCTTGACAGTGGTGCCTCTCACCACATCACTACGGATTTGCACAACCTTGCTATTCATAGTCCTTACTCAGGCGGTGAGGATGTTGTTGTTGGCGATGGGTCGAGCCATTCGATTACCCATACCGGTTCACTTTCTATCCCTGCTTCATCTCATTCAGTTCAACTTAATGATGTTTTATGTGTTCCGGGTTTGTGCAAGAATCTTGTCTCTGTGAACAAGTTGTGTTCTACTAATGATGTATTCGTGGAATTCTCTTCTTCTGGTTTTCAGGTGAAGGATCGCAGCACGGGGACACTAATCCTTCGAGGTCGAAGTAAGGATGGAGCGTATGAGTGGCCGTCAGTCAGTTCATCTTTAGAGTCTTCAGCGTCTCCAAGTCTTTTCATGTTCAAAGTCCACTTTGTCCGAATGGCATCTTTGTTTAGGTCATCCTGCTTTACCTATCTTAAAAAATGTCTTGTCTAAGTTTCAGTTACCGTTGTCTCGGGAGTCTTCTGCTTTGCCTTGTCTTTCTTGCAATATTAATAAAAGTCTAAACCTCTTGAGATTATTTTTTCTGACGTATGGATGTCTTCTGTTATCTCCATTGATGGATTCAAATACTATGTTCTTTTTGTTTTATCACTTCACTCGTTATTCGTGGTTATATCCCTTACGACGCAAATCCGATGTTCGGACCACTTTTGAACGTTTCAAACCACTAGTTGAGACAAAATTCAATTCCAAAAGTTTCTCTTTATACCGTCAATGGTGGTGAGTTTCTTGCTTTGTCGTCTTTTCTTACCTCTCACGGTATCTCTCACCTAACCACTCCTTCACATACTTCCGAATACAATGGTATTTCTAAGTGTCATCATCGTCATATCGTTGAAACTGGATTATCTCTTCTCACGCACGCGTCCATCCTCGTCTCTTATTGGTCTTATGCCTTCTCGACTGCGGTTTATCTCATTATTCGCATGCCTACCCCCGTTCTTGGCATGTCTAGCCCGTATGAGTGTCTTTTTTCTTTGGTTCCCAATTACTCGAAACTTCGTGTCTTTGGTTGTCTGTGTTATCCTTGGCTCCGCCCATACACATCTCGTAAACTAGATCCTAGGTTGAAGGCATGTGTCTTCCTCGGTTATTCTCCTACTCAGAGTGCGTATTTCTGTCTTGATCCGGTCTCATCTCGTGTGTTTGTGTCACATCATGTCCAGTTTCACGAAAACGTCTTTCCTTTCTTGGATCTCTCGCGTCAATCTTCCCCATCCAGTTCCGAGTCTGTGTCTCCTTGTCCAGCATGTCCTCTTGTTCGGCCTATCGATTTCTTTCAGCCGCCGCTCATTGCTCCATCTCCGATACAGTCCCCGAGCTCTGATCCTTTGCATACTGTTCCGCCAGTTGCAGAATCTGATTGTGCTTTGGACTCTCGACCGACACCTGCTGACAGTGTTGTTGTCTCGGACTCTGTTGCTTTTGCACCACGGAATGTACA